GCTAGGCAACACTCCACCACCGAGCTAGGTCTGGAGCCCAGAAGTCTTTCTCTAACTCATAGAATTGTGTTTTCATAGCACTGATTTTGAAGTATCTCCACAGAACAAACTGAAATCAACATCAACTTCAATCTTAGATTGAAGAGACCCAGTTAAGCCTTCAGCCTTACCAGTGAATTCAGAAGTTTCTTTCAGCCCTTGTCCTCATCTGCCAGATAAGCAGAAAAGTCTTTTGATATCAAGAGAAATGATATGTGTAAAAGACAACTGGCTAAAATCTCTATGAAATGAGTCAATATACAATTAAACAAGGTTCAAGATTTAAACATCTTCAAAGCAAAAAGAAAATTAAAAACCTTAAATAACTATAATTTACTAATAATAACAGCAAATGCTTATTGAGCACTTATAATCAAATATTAAATATTTCACATGAATAATTTAATTTAAGCTTCTCAAAAATACAACTTCTGACTTTTGTAGAGGAGAAGAAAAAATAAGGATAAAAACACCCTCCTAAAGACAAATAGCTACTGAGTTGTAGAACCAGAAAGTAAATATCAATGGTTCAATACCAGAAACAAGCTCTAAATTCACCCCACTGCAGTACACCCCAAAGTAATCAGGGAAAACCACCCTGTGGAACTATTAAGTTGGAAATCTTAGGCTTTGAATACTAACACCTGTTCATTTCTGAAATAATTGTCTTGATGCATTTAATTTTTTAAATCAAACTACTTTAAAGCAAAATCAAAACAACTTAAATATACAACAGTAAATATATTTCAGAATACTCATGACATGCATAAATATTATTCATGCATAAATAATGTGAATAAATGTATAGCTTGGAAACAGGAGTATTGAAAAGCAAAAAAACATATGTTTATATAACACGCAGAAAATACAGATTTTCATAAAAATAATGTTTCATGCACAGTGGAAGCTAGTAAGATAGATTTTACATGTTAACAACTGCAATTTATTGGAATTTTTACATATTATGATATTTTCTACATCTTCTATATTCAATATTTTGTCATGTTTAAAAACTCAAACAACTAACCTAACCATGGGCACTGAAATTCAAAGTGATTCAGATGCCTCCAGCAAGAGGTGAGCAAATAGTCATAAAGTTGAGAAAATGATTCTAAGTGCAGTGACAGGGGTGGCCAAAGAGCAGAGGTAAAGAAAACTGGTGAATGCCCCTGAAGAGCAAAGGAAGAGACATTTAAAAATAAAATCATGATTCAAGAGTGTCATTCAGATACCACCCAACTTTTGTGACTACTTTTCCTTTATCAAAAAATACTTCCTAAAATGTTGCTTTTCCTGGATTTAATTAGGGATACATTGTCATTAAACATGTCAGAAAGGCACAGCACTAAAATGTACAAAGAAATGCTAACATACAAAAACATAAACTGCAATTCTTTACACAATGAAAAATCAGAAAAATAAATTAAGAAAATAATCCTATTTATAATGGTGTCAGAAAAGTAAAACACTTGGCAATAAGTTGAACCAAGAAAGTGAAATATCTTTACATTGAGAACAGAAAGATATTAATGAAAGAAATAGTGAGCACAAATAACGGAGAGTCATTTTGCATTTAGAGATTGGAAGAATTAATATAAATACATTCACACTGCCCAAATTACCCTCACATTTAATGAACTCTTTTTGAAACTGTTATAGTGTAGGTTACAAAGTTACAGACCAGCATACATAAGAAGGTCAAATTAGGGTCATGTTTTTAAGCAGGTAGCCAAGAGTAGGCTAGCACCCCAGGAAACTCTTGATGCCAAAGCTCATTTTTTTATATGTATTGAGTTTTGTCTGCATATATACCTGTGTTAGGCTGCTAGATGCCCTGGAACTGGAGTTACAGACAGCTATAAACTGCCACGTGGGTGCTGGAAATTGAACCCATGTTATCTGGAAGAGTATTAATGCTCTTACCCATTGAACCATCTCTCCAGCATAGACTCAGCATTTTTAAAGACAAAAGACCACACAGATCACAATTATATCAATCTTTGATGAGGATCAGAGTAACTTTGACATATCTGTTTTGTCAGAACATAGCAGCTATTTCACATATAACATGACAATTATTTTTATGTATACCTTTACCAGTTATTTTGACTAATGTTTAGCTTGTACAAATATTATTTTGGTTAATACATCTGGAATATGGTCATGGTCACAGACAATGCCGAGTATGTTGCCAAGACAAATGTGGCTATTGGGGAAGAACAGAGGGCTAAGAAGTGTCTACAGTATCACAAAGTGGAATCAGGACAAGATGAAATTACCTTATTTACTTTGAATCTTAAAATGTCATTTTAGAAAAAAAATACCTAAAATTTTCATCAGACTATAAAAAATGCCTAATGGTCAAACAATTTGAAGAAAGAAAAACAGGACCAGAGACATTTTGCTCCCTGACTTTGAATTATTATAAGTCTGTAGTTTTCAAAGGAGTGTGGGACAACCACAAAGCATATATAAACTCATGAGACAAAACAGAGTCAGAACCAAACCTACACATTTGTAGGTCACGATCTTTAACAACGATGCTGAGAATACAGTGAGAGAAGGGTGGGATCTTCAACAGGTAGTGCTGGGAAAACTGGATACCTGCTGATAAAGGAATAAAGTTGTGCCTGTGTTATCTAGTTATAAAACATCCACTAGAAATGGATTACACAAAATCTCAAACCATGAAATTCCTAGCAGATGACCTGCGGACAAAGCACTCTTGCATGTGATTGGCTAGGATGTTTTGATCATCACCACAAAAGCAAACAACAAAAATACAAAATAGTGAGACTACAACAAATTAAAGAGCTGACACACGGGAAAAACAAGAACCAACAGAAAAACAGAACCAAAGGCAGACAGCAGAATGGGGGAGAATACTGATAAACTGCCTGTGACAGGGGAAAATCCTAAAACTTAGTCAACTAAAACCCACAAAATAATTCAATTAAAAATGGACAAGGACCAACACATTGTCAAAAAAAAAAAAACCAAAAAACAAACAATCAAAGAACAACTCTAAACTCCAAATAACCAACAACAAAATAAGAAAAAATTCTCAACATTACTAATGATCAGACAGAGAAATGCAAATCAAAACCACACTGAGATACTACCACATACATGCTATATAGGCTGATGGCTCTTTCCAGCAAAACAAGAGAAAAGTGGTAAAGATATGGGAAAGAGGAATATTTGAACACTGGATAGAAATGTAGGTTGCTACTGCCATTATAGAAAACAATACAGAAATGCTATAAAGAAAAAAATTCATCCAGAACTATTGTAATTCTGAACAAGGTCATTAGATCATCATGGCAAAGAAATACCTATATGCTCACTGTGGAAATGTCCTAAATAGACATTCAAGCCAAGGAATCGTCTTGAGTGTCCATCAGCAGAGGCGTGAATAAAGACATGCAGTCTACAGGAACAAGGGTATAGTACTCACCATTTAAAAGAAATTTTGTCACTTTGAAAACATACATGAAACTGGAGGACATTGCACTAAATGCAGCAAACAAGATGCCGAAAGAAAAATACTGCATAATCTCATTTATTTGTTGACTCTGAAAACATTGCCAGTAGTGCCAGGGGTAAACTGGTAAGGTGCCAATAAGGCAAATATACTTATGTGATGAACCAGGAATCTCAAATACAGCAACATGATTTAAAAACAAGTTTAAGAAGAAGGAAAAAAATTAATACTATTATACGGCTAACTTAAGACTTTGTAAGTGAGTAATATCTTCACCTTCCCTCCCACACACACAAATGTGCTCAAAAGGGAGCTATGGGTAATGGCAGATATGCTGGCTTGTGGTTGTGGCCATCAATGTGTGGCATACCACACCACATTATGCGTCTCAAATGTTTTTGTTCATTAGACTTCAATAAGCCTAGGAAAGAAAAAAAATCTGAAAAAAAATTTAATTCATTAAGATTTCTCACACTTTGATGATTTTTCCTCTTACTAGTTTTTAGAGGAGAAAAATGTTTCATATATATTATTAAATACTATCAGATAATTTTACCCTTTCACCTGTTTACTATTTGGAACACAATTATTTTCCATTTCTGGCATTGCTGGGGGCTATACCCCTGACCTTGCATATACTAGGCAAGCTCTGAACCACTGATCTATACACCCAGTAAGAAATTTTTTTCCAAGTGTAGAATGCTTTAGCTTACTATGTTTATGAATGTAAACCTGACTGTGTTCATTAGTATCAAATCTGACTATTCAAGAGAAAAATTTTAGTAGCAATTTTTAAATTTTTGGATTAAATATATTCTGTATAGTTTCATTATAAATGAAATGTCCCCAATAGTCTCATTGTTGAAGTGTTGGCCCTAGCAGACAGTGCTATTCTGGAAGGTTCTGGAAATTTCCAGAAATACATCGCTTGAGGCATGTCCTTGTGCACAGCATCCTGCTGTAGAATCTGTCCTATTTCCTCCTCCTGTCACTTCCTTTTCATTATGTGTTTGAACCTTCTGAAGCCATGAGTCAAATCATTCCTTTTAAATCATTTTTCTCAAGTATTTGTCATATCAACTGAAAAAGTGATTAATGTACTTAGCTAGATGTAACTTTTTGGCATACCAAAATATGTATTTTAAAGTAAAAGTTGAAATCATCTTTCTGCTCTCCAATTACAAAACAACTTTACTTTCTTTTAACCTGCTTTTCCTCATATGGATTAAGTTCAGATACAAACACATTTGAGGGAAAGGACTTTATGTTACAACAGACGGTAAGGGACAAGGGGGAATGTACTCAACATACAATTTATGAGTGCATGAAACTGTCCTTCTTATATAAAATGCAATGTGCAGTGAATATACACGACTAAATGATAAAAAAAAGTGAGAGGAGAAAGGAGGAGGAAGGAGGAAGGCAGGAGGGAGGAAAGGAAAGAGGACGGGTGAGGAATGAGAGTAGCAGCACTCACGTCTGTGGAACAGGTCCCAGTACTCGTCGATCTGGCTCTGTGTGGGGAAATGGCCACAGTCATTGAAGTACTTCATCAGCTCACTTCTCTCTAACCCTTGCCAGTCCTCTCTCTTGGCAAACATGGTTTCGTAGACTAAAAGCCAAAAAGGTAAAATAACATAGTTTCTTTTACAAATAATGTACCAAAGACAAGTCACCTGGAAAGTCCTTCCCAGCTGGAAGCAACTGTGACTCCAGGTTCATCATCACACCTGTGGATGAGTCTTTGAGACTGTAGAAGCCAGGCTGGAGGCAGCCTTTTGGCAAAGGGCAAGAGGCAGGGCTTCTCTTTCTCACCCATTTCCACAGTTTGACATTCAGTCTGGCTCCCCATGGAGATCAAGAGGCAGAGTGGGTGCTCTATCTCTTTCATGACAAGTGATCACAGACCTTACATATATCAACACCCAAGCTTCATCATAAACTGTAACTTGGGATATTTTATTTTTATTAAAATGTATTCATTATATACATTAATGGGCTCATTGTGATAATCCATTGCATGCACACAGCATACACCATTCAAATCCTACCTCCCATGTCCCTTCCCAACTACTAATAGTTGCTATTCAATGTTCATGTCAATTTTTAAAACATTTATATATAAGGGACGATATGTAGTATTTGTCTTTCTGTGTGTGGATTATTTCATTTAGTATAAGATCTCCTATGTTAATGTTCCCGACACTCTCCTAGCTGCTTCTGGAGTCAGATGACCACGCATGACCTGGCAGCAGTCAGGCAAAATGCTTAGTCACTATGCCAGGGCCTTATGTCCTCTGTAATCCGTAATCCGTGTGCAGCTTGGTCACATAATATATTCGCATGCTTGCCGCAGCTACCTAAGCCCCTGTATGAATGCTCAAGGTGACCCTTAAAAGCAGACTCCGCCCGTTTCCTGCTTCCTCCTCAAATTCTCTCCCATAGACCTACTCACACCCATCTTTCTCCCTTCCTTAATAAACTCTCAAAATGGGTTTTGTTGTGCTTCATGGTTCATTTCTCATGCCCAGTAAATGACATCAGTAAATAAATGACACCCTACCCACCCTTAATGTTCATTATCTTATTGCGACACTGCAAGTGTGGATATATAAAGTGTTTTTGTTACCCACGTATCTGTTGATAGGCACTTAAGCTGGCTCTATGTCTTCACCATTATGAAGTCACTATTGTGACGATGAACGCAGGTGTGATGGTACATGCAAGTGCCTCTTGGAGGTGCTGCTTTGACTTCCTGAGCAGTGCACTCAGGGTGGCTCAGGTGGATCACATGATATTTGTTTTTCTTTTCTTTCTTTTTAAAAATTGTTTAACATACTAGAGCCTGAACCTAGGGCATCGTGCATAAAAGGCAAGGGTTCCACTACTACATATCACCACCATGGCTCTTTTTATTTCTATTTTGAGACGGGGATCACTAAATTGTCTAGGAGGGCTTTGAGCTTGCTCTATCCATTATAGGTTTGTAACACCAGACTGGCTTATTTTTTATTTCTATTTTTTTGAATCTTCATACTGTTCTCATCGTGGATCTGCTAATGTACATGCCCACAAACAGTCCATCAAAATCTCCTTTTTGTCCACACAGTCAGCAGCAATGACAGAAATCCCAGGTTCCTGACTCCTGATGTGTCAGGAATCATTATTACTTCCTTTAAATTCACATCTTTTCAGCTTTCAATACACACTCTGACCACTTGGATTTCTATGATGCTTTGAATTTCTGATTCAGAAATAGAATTAGGAGCAATGTCTACACTCTGCTCACTGACTTCACAGTGAGGAAAAAAAGCCCCTCAAGAAATTCCTACCTAAATACAAATGGCTATTCCAAATCTTTAAAGCTATCAAAAACATATACAAATTAATATTTGATACAGGTATGTGTTTTTCTCTGTTTTCAAATCTACAAACTAAAGCTGCTGTATTTGGGGTCTATTCACATTACCTTGTAGAGCAGAACTCAAAGCCCTCCTGTTTCTTGGGCATTTTGACTCAGAAGTGCCAGCATCTACATTTCATTACCTTAACACTCCTTCTAGCAGAGATCCATAATCTGTCTGATACTTGGGCAACAAGCCAGAAGTCCCATGGACTTAAGACCCCTGAAGAGTGACCCTCAACCTCTGGCTGTGGTGACAGGGAGGGGCAATTGGTGATGAAAATCTAGCTATTAAGAAAGTTGGTGGCATTATTCTCTTGAGTTCTCATGATAATTTATTTTCTTTAACTTGTGCCCTGTCCCTGCTGCATTTCCCTATACCATTAACAGTATTTGAGGAATTTACTTCCAAATAAGTTAGTTGCACTTGAATGCTTTTCTCAGGATTTGATTCTAGAGAAACTTAAAACTAAGACACAAAGAATATGCTTTGTTTTTTAAATAAATGTATTTTCCTTATAAAAATTCATGTACTTTTATTATTTTTCGCTCAATCATCTTTAGATGTCTTTCCTATTAATATCATATCTCTGTGATTATGCAATGCTTAGTGTACAATACAAACATTCAGTAGCTCACTAGCAGAGTTAATGAACTAAACTAGTTAGCCAGTTTCAGTGAAAATATAACTGAAATTATGAAAATTAATACAGTTTGAAATTATTGAAACATATTTTAAAAGGTGTACAGCTATTTGCCAAATATCAATTAGCAATCATTGTATAGAAAAAGAAGAAAATTCTATAAGAAACATGACAAAAATACCTTGCAAATTATGTGTACTCTAGGCATAATGTAAATGAATGCTATTCATAATTCTTTAAATTATTCCCTTAGCTAATTCTATTCTACTGCTCAGATTCTATGTTGGACAGAGCACCATCTGTCTAACTTAATGCCTCTATTCTGTCTTTGCCTCATGTCAGTCTAACCACAGTGATATATGTTCATAAACTGCACCATGGTTCTCTGTGTGTAAGCTTCCAGTGCCTTCCCAACCTGACCAGGAATCAAACCAAGAAACAATTACATGCAATTCAGAGACTTTAAAGACTCTTACTCAATAACCTTATCAGCTAGAAACCACCAGAATCCAGTCTGAAAAAACAAATACCACGTTTGAGGAGTTGGGGGTGCATATGCATCTGTCTATACTTTTGTCTTTCCAAACTAAACAAACAAACAAACAAAAAAAAAGTTGAAGGAAAAAAATTTGAAATCTGTAATTACAAATCAAGAGGAGAAATCATGGGAGTAGGAATAAAACTAAAACCAATAAGCTACTATAAAACTAAAAAAGAATAGTGACAAAATTTGAAGTATGAAGACAAGACTAAATAAAACAATGGGAACATTTTGAAAATGATGTGGTTAGGAATTCAGTGGCTGGGTGCTAAAATAGACTCTTTCCCATGCTTCCTAGGAATAGTCACAGAAGTAGCTGCTGGTGGTCTGGACAAAGAGTAGAAGAGTTGTATTCTGAATCAATGGTGGAAAAAAAAAACATGGTTTTCCAATGAAGTAAGGTGTCTTGACCCCATAGTGGAGTGGGCCTGCTGTTGACTAAGAGTCATTCTTGTTAAAGACCAAGGAGAGGTGAAGAGAGGAAGTATAACTCTGTTTGCAGATGCATTATGGATGCCGATCTGAATGTTCTCAACTTGGTTATTATGGGGAGAAAAAGCAGAGAAAGATACTTCTGGACAAACTGATACTACTGTACCTCAGTTGTTAGGGCCACAAAGAGCCAGCAGAATCCAAAAGCTTTTCAATATCTCTAAAGGAGATGGTGTCCCCCAGGATGTTGTCAGAAACCTCTTAAACAAAGAAGATTAAGTAAGAAGCCCAGGACCAAAGCAGCCAACATTCAGTGTTTTCTTCCTCCATGTGCCCTGCAACCCAAACATTGATGTACTCCTCCAAAGAGGTAACACATAGGAAAAGAAGAGGTTGTAAAATATGCTAGATTATTGGCCAAGAGATTGAAGGAAGTCAAAGAAAAATGCTAGGAACAGACTGCCAAAAGACATAGGCTGTCCTCACTGAGAGCTTCAACTGCTGAGTCCAGTCAAAAAGAAGTCTATAAGAGTAGCAAATGGGGCTGGAGAGATGGCTCAGAGGTTAAGAGCACCGACTGCTCTTCCAGAGGTCCTGAGTTCAATTCTCAGCACCCACATGGTGGTTCACAACCATCTGTAATGAGACCTGGCAGCCTCCTCTGTGTGCATAATAAATAAATAAAAAAAATTTAAAAAAAAAAGAGTAGCAAATGATCAGACCTTGAAAAATACAATAAAGTAAGTAAAATAATAAAATAAAATGGGTGAGAGAAAAGCTAGTTGGTACAGTAACCAAAAGTGCTAGTATACAATTTGATAAATATTAGAAAATATCTCCTTCAAAGCATAATGGAATGCAAAACTATTCACAGAAGACTATTAGGATATCTTATTAAATTTTTTACTAGTGGGTAGAGTGCTCATGACAGTTGTGAAACTGAGGTGCAAGTAGTTGGGATCCCTTTTCGCCCTTCTTCCCTCAAGCATGTAAACTAAGTTCCAGGAGCCCCCTAACTGCAAGCAGGTCCTGACTGTCCCTGCACTGACTTCCACTTGCTTTCTGTCCCTTTCTCATTCGTAGCTTTCCATCTGTTTGACCTTTTGCTGTACTGGCTGTTTAGGGGAAACCTTGAGAGTTATACACATGCCTTATCCAACTTTCTGAAAATCAGGCTGTTGAACTAGATCACATGAGCTGAATCCTCAAGACCTACATACAACCAAGTTCTGAATTGTCTTGGTGTCTTTTTCTCCGTTTGGTTTCTTCTTTCTTTAATCAGTAGCAACAGAAATGGAACAAGTATAACTCATTTAAAAATACCTCTTGGTATATAAACTTAATGAAAATTGCCATTTGAACAAATACTTTTTGCTGTTCTGATACACTAGGCACATGTTAAACAGTGAACATTCATTGAAATACAGGCCCCACCTTATGCAGCTTTTATGAATGTGAAGTCCCAACTATAAAATAAACATTTTACAGCTGGCTGAAACTATCAAAATGTAACACATTGATCCCCATAAAAGCATAAAATGACTCCAATTAAGTATAATTTACTTGTGTCATTAACTTTCATTCTTCAAGAAATTGGTCTAGTGATACATACTACTTAAACAACACTCAACTGACCAAATAAAAATAGAAAGCCAATGACAAAATTTGTCTTTGTTTTATGAGGAGAATTCCCAACATCTTGAAGTAATGTGTAACTGAATCTGCTCAGTGTGCATTAATGTTCACCTAGTATTACAATTTTATACTCATTTCAGGAATGACCCATGTCTCCCCCAAAGGGCAGAGAGTCACACTATAACTCTCAAGGCCTTCCATGGCCACTTCAAACTATCTGACTTATGGCTCAGACTAAATTATTTATTTGAAACCTCTTGGAAATCTGAATTTTTTAAAAAAAAAAGTGTCTCAGACTGAATATGTCATTTTGTTGGTAAAGTGTTTGCCTAGCATGCGTAAAACTCTGAGTTCTCCAACACTGTGTAAAAACAGGATGGTGATATGGTGATATATACCTATAATCCCAGAACTTGGAAGGTAGAGGGATGAGAAGCTGGAGTTCAACATCATTCTTAGCTACATAGAGAGTTCAAAGTCAGTGTGGACAAATGAGACCCTGTCTCAATAATATATATATAATACATTATATATTATTCTAATATATATATATATATATATTAGAAAGAGAGAGAGGTAGGTAGATGGATTGATGGATGGATGGATGAATGGATGGACGGATGGATGGGTAGATAGGTAGGTAGCTAGGGTAAGTAGATAGATAGATAGATAGATAGATAGATAGATAGATAGATAGATAGATAGATAGAGACAGACAGACAGACAGACAGACAGGTAGGTAGATAGATAGACAGACAGGTAGATAGATAGATAGATAGATAGATAGATAGATAGACAGACAGACAGATAGATAGATAGACCGGTAGGTATATAGATAGACAGGTAGGTAGATAAACAGATAAGTAGATGATAGATAGATAGATAGATAGATAGATAGATAGATAGATAGATAGATACAGACAGGTAGGTAGATAGACAGATAGACAGACAGGTAGATAGATAGATAGACAGACAGAGAGAGAGAGAGAGAGACAGATAGGTAGATAGATAGACAGGCAGGTAGACGGGTAGGTAGATTAACAGACAGATAAGTAGATAGATAGATAGATAGATAGATAGATAGATAGATAGATAGATAGATAGATAGATAGATAGATAGATACACACATACATACACACATACATCGTGTGTGTGTGTGTGTACGTGTGTGTGTGTGTGTGTGTGTGTGTGTACGTGTGTGTGTGTGTGTGTGTAATAGGGCTGGTGTGTTTCTCTTCTTCAGGAAATAATAGACACTTTTTCCATATTTTATGACCCTTAGGTCTCTGGAGCAGCCTAGATTTATATCCTCTGTGGAATCTGATTCTTCTCCTGTCTTTCCAACACTTTCCCTTTAAATATCCTTTTACACTTTGTGCAGCTAAATGGGGATTCTATTGTTTAGAAACTGAAGTCCTAATGAATGAATTCAAGCACACAGAAAATACAACCTTAAAATGCAAATAGAAATTTAAAATATAGTCTTCCTTTTATTGATAGGAGTAGATAAAATGTCTTTTCATTGGCTAAAACTTCATTCTAATCTTAGCACCAAACAAGAAGAGACTGCAATACTTACATTTTTTCCTATCCATCCATTCCTCTAACTCTCCAAAGTTTATAATCTGTCTTGTCCTCCAAAGACCAAGTCGATGTCTAATACGGTAGATTAAGAACTGATACATCATGATAACTGCTTTTAAATTTGGTCCATGATACAAAGCCTATGAAAAGCAAAAAATATCATAATGTGGTTCATGTATTTCTATTATTTATATCTATTTGTGCATCTAGAGTGAACAGCTTAGATAAAGGCCATTCTTGAATGTCTTCTGCATAGAAATATGCATTCCACCACTGTCCTGTGTGCACTGACAGCTATTCCCATCAAAATACTTTTTGTGCCAGTTAGTTTTTCCATTACTGTGACACAAGCTAGATTCACCTGGGAAGAGGAAGTCACAACTGAGAAAACACTCTCATTACATTGCCTATAGACAAGTCCTTGGGGCCATGTTCTTGATTAACTGTTACGCAGGAGGTCCCAGCCTAGTAGAAGTGGTGCCAGCTCTGGGCAAGTGGTGCTGGATGGTGTGAGAATCCAAGCTGAACAGGACATGGTGAGCAAGCTGGTGAGCATTACTCCAGGGCTCCTGCTTCAGTTCCTGGAGCTCTTTCCCTGCCTTCCTTCAGTGACAGAGTGGAATCACACTGTGTAAAGAAGACAACACCTACTTCACAAGTTGCTTTTGGTTTTGCTATTTTACCATAGTAAAGGAAAGCAAACTAGGATGCCTTTCCTGCTGTGACAGACTGTACTTCTCTGAACTGTAAGCCAAAGTAAATCCTCCTGCTTTACTTTGCTTTTTGTCAAGCATTTGGTAATACTGAAAAAAGTAACTAAAACAGAATATATGAAAAAATACAGATTAAATTTCCTAACACCATTATAATACAAAAGTCATCATAAATTATTGATATTTTCCGATTCTTATTTATTTAATAGACAAATCCACACTATCTTCCAGGATGCACTTCAGTCTGTCTTTTGTTTGATTCTCTCATGTCTTCTTTCAGCACAGTGACACTTAGAGGGATGTATGCCCTCTGCTTATTAGCAAGAGCAGACCCTTCCCTGTTTACTGCCCATTTATCCTGTTCCAGCTGTGGTACGGTCTTATTTGCTTTTTTACTAGTCTCTGTGCTGCTCGGAATTTTGTAAGAGAATGCTAAAGGCTAGGATGGTTTCTTAACCATAGTACCTAACTTAATAAATGCTTTTGTGTTGGTTTTATTCAACTCTCAGAAAATGATATGATAGGCCCTAAGAATTCTATCTAAACACTGACATATGGCAATATCAAAAGAATCTTTATTAGGAAGCCACATAAAGTAAGAAGGAAAACATGACTAACTCCATGAAATAAAATGCAAAATAATAAAATGAAATAAAAAAGAATGTTGTAAATAGTTGCCATAAGTTCATACATATAAGCATACACTTAAATACAAGAAACAGCAGTTGTGATTTGGGTATCCATTTTCCCAGCAGTAAATGTTACTGACACTCTTAGCCCTGCAGAGACAAAGAAGACACTCTTTCCTCAATTTGGTATCTACCTCATAAGTGTTTATTAGGTTATTGTCCTTCTAGTAGAATGCAATTCCTCAATAATAGGAATCTTAGAAATCCATTAAACTGTCTGCAAGGTCCAGAACATTCCTGCAACTTATTGGAGCCTATTGCACATTTTTTACAATAACTAAGTAGAAATTTATAAAGGCACATTGGGGTCAGGTGAATTTTTTCCTAAATATTCTGAATCAGTCTCTTAGCCAAGTGTGCCTTCTGAATATCCTGCTCACTCTCATAAATTTTAGAATCATTATTTTTATGGTAACTAGAGTCATGGGAATAGATGACATTGTTCCAGAAACTATGTATACTAAGGAGAGAATCCTGTAAAAGAAATATTGAGACAGATACCAGTCAAAGGGAAATAGAAGGTCTATTCCATAAACACTAAAGCAGTAACCAAAGACATAAGAAAATAAGAACATGCTTGATCACAGAAACTCAAAGAAAGAGGCTAGGTTATGTCAGTAGACTGTAATGTTGCTAGGAATGACTGTGGCAAAGGTTTTTGGTTTTAGTACTGATAAATTCATGGAGTATTCCAAATAACATTCAAGTTCTTTTTCAATGTGAAAGTTTATTTTAAATACACTTAATTAATATATAACTATATCACTTCTGCCCATTACCATGTCCCCACCCTCCAACTCACCCCTTGCCCCCTCACTTCCTTTCAAATTGTTTCTTTTCTTTTTTATTAAGAAACTTTCGCCGGGTGGTGGTGGCGCATGCCTTTAATCCCAGCACTCAGGAGGCAGAGCCAGGCGGATCTCTGTGAGTTCGAGGCTAGCCTGGGCTACCAAGTGAGTTCCAGGAAAAGGCGCAAAGCTACACAGAGAAACCCTGTCTCGAAAAACCAAAAAAAAAAAAAAAGAAACTTTCTATTCATTTTATATACCAACCACAGATCCCCTCCCCTCCCATCTCCCATCCCCCAACCTTCCCCCCATCTCAACCCCCATTCCCACCTCCTCCAAGGCAAGGCCTCCTATGGGAAGTCAGCAGAGCCTAATATACTCAGCTGAGGCAGGTCCAAGCCCCTCCCCCTGGACCAAGGCTGTGTAAGGTGTCCCACCATAGGCAGTAGGCTCCAAAAAGCCCACTCATGCCCTAGGGATGAATTCCTGATCCCTCTGCCAGGAGGTCCCTTAAGCAGATCAAGCTACATAACTGTCTGGCCTATGCAGAGGGCCTAGTCCAGTCCCATAGAGGCTCCACAGTTATTGGTCCACAGTTCATGAGTTCCCACTAGTTTGGTTTGGTTGTCTCTGTACGTTTCCCCATCATGATCTTGATGCTCCTTGCTCATAGAATCCCTCTTCTCTCTCTTTGACTGGACTCCTGGAGCTTGGCCTGGTGCTTGGCTGTGGATCTTTACATCTGCTTCCATCAGTTATTGGGTGAAGGCTCTATGGTGACAGTTAGGGTATTTACTAATCTGATTACCAGGGTAGGCTAGTTCAGGCACCCTCTCCACTATAGCTAGTAGTCTAAGGTGGGGTCATCCTTGTGGATTTCTGGGAACTTCCCTAGTACCAGGTTTCTCCCTATCCCCATGATATTTACCTCTATCATGGTATCTCTTTCATTGCTCTCCCACTCCATCCTTGTTCCAGCTTGACCATCCCTTTCCCTTATGTTCTCATCCACCAGCCCTACCCTCCATTGCTCCCCTCACCGCCTGTCTACTCATGGAGATCTCATCCATTTCCCCTTCCCAGGGTGATCCATGCATCCCTCTTGGGGGTTCTCCTTGCTAGCTAGCCTCTCTGGAGCTGTGGGTTGTAGTTTGGTTATCCTTTGCCTTTCATCTAGTATTCACTAATGAGTAAGTACATACCATGTTTGTACTTCTGAGTCTGGGTTACCTCACTCAGTATGATATTTTCTAGTTTTATCCATTTGCCTGCAAATTTCATGATGTCTTTGTTTTTTACTGCTGAGTAGTATTCCATCAAATTGCTAGTATCTTTTGCTTTATTATTGTTACATTTTACACACACACACACACACACACACACACACACACACACACACACACAGATATATAAATACAACAAGTATAGTAGTTTTGTTGTTCATGTATATATGATTTCAAGGCTGAAGCAGTTAAGTACTTTAAGTGGCATGGGGACAATTCCAGAGTGTTTCATTGGATCTAACAGGGCAGCTGTTTGATATGGAGGCAAGGAGCCTTGACTTGACTGAAGCAAAGGAACGACACTCAGTGGGAGAAGAAACAGGACAAGAATAATTAAGAAAATAAGCAACTTTTGTGGGGAGGAACTTTGAGAGGAATTTAAGATGAAAGGATGGATATTTCTCTTCAATGGCCCAATCTCTTTTCTGAGCTCTAGATCCACATTCCCAATGAACTTCTAACTATCTAAAACATTTCTCACAGGTATTTCAAACTCAGTGCTTGTGGTAGTTTTAATGTAATTGACCCCAATAAGTTCATGAAGATTGGCACTATTAGGAGGTGTGACTTTTTTTAAAAAAATTTATTCATTCATTTATTTATTCATTTATTTTACATCCTGGCTGTAGATTCCCCTCCCTCCTCTCTTCCCAGTCTGTCCCCCTCATCCCCACTCTGTTCCACCCTCCACTCCCATGGACAGGTCTCCCGTGAATATTACCAAACATCCCCATGTATTATTAAGGCTGGGTAAGGCAACCCAATATGAAGAACAGGGACCCACAAGCCAGTAAAAGAGTTGAAGACAGCCCCTTTTCTCACTGTTAGGAGTCCTACAAGAGGACCAAGCTACACAACTGTAACATATATGCAGAGGGCCTAGGTCAGTCCCATGCAGGCTCCCTGGTTGTTGGTTCAGTCTCTGTGAGCCCCTATGAGCCCAGATTAGTTGATTCTGAGTTTTCTTGTGGTGTCCTTGACCCCTCTGGCTCCTACAATCCTTTCTCCCCATCTTCTGCAGGATTCCCCAAGCTCCATCTAATGATTGCCTGTGGGTCTGCACCTTTAGCATCAGTTGCTGGATGGAGCCTCTGGGATGACAATTGGACTAGGTACCAATCTGGTCACAGGAGACGGCCAGTTCAGGCTACTTTTCCACTATTGCTCAGTGTCTTAGCTGGAGTCATCTTTGTAGATTCTTGGGAGATTCCCTTGAGCCATGTTTTTATCTGACCCTGAAATGCACCCTGCTCCCCAGTTTCTAGTAGTCACATTCAGTACTCTCCCCCTCTACACCCTCAACATGACAGCTTATGTTCCCATTTCCACCTACCCTCAGTCCACTCACGAAATCTCTTCAATTTCCCCTCCCCAGGGAGATCTGGGTGCCCCCCTACCAATGAAACCTCCTTGTTACCTAGTCTCCCTGGATCTGTGGATTCTAGCATAGTTATACTGTACTTCACAGCTACTATCTACTAGTCTGAGTGAATACATACCATATTTATCTTTCCAGTTCTGAGTTACCCCACTCAGGATGATTTTTTTTTTTGTTCCATCCATTTTTCTTCAAATTTCATGGTGTCCTTGCTTTTAACAGCTGACTAATACTCCATTGTGTAAATGTACCATATTTTCTTCATCCATTCCTTAGTTGAGGGATATCT